TGGAATTCGAACTCGGCTATCCGATTCCTCAGTCCGAGCCGCTATACATGACTCCAGAGTATGAAATTACTCCACCGTGCCTCCATCATTGTTGCAATATCTAGATATAAAAGTAAGTTCTACTCTGATAGTTTCCTTTATCGACTCTGGAATTATCTTACGGTGTCTTGCTTCTCTGTAACCTACAATCTTCAAAACTTTAATATTAAACGCCAATCGCCATCTTCTTTTCTGAAACCTGTTCTTTTTATTGCCATTTTCCCACACTAACGTCTTGTCAATCTCTTTAAAACCCAGTAACCCTTGCGTCATAGTCTCATTATCGATTTGCTTACTGTGAACTTATGACAAATGGAATGGTAATATCAGCCGAATATTTAAGGAAATGTTCGGCATTCATTGACCAAGCAGCCAGTTCTACTTACAATGAGATCCATGAACTTTTTCTATAAAAAAAAAAATTCTGGAAAATATTTTTCTTATTAGTCCTGATCTGGCATCCCGCCTATGGTCACTATCTCACAGACGTGCTGTGGTTTCCTTCTGTCTTTTCTACAAGTATTTTCATGTTAACTGTTCCGATGAGTTGCTTTCACTGTTTCCCAACGTGCATAAATTTAAGCGTGCTACTAGGTTGGCATCTGGGTCCCACCGTTTCATTGTCGAAATGACTAAATGTAGCCATCTCTTCTACTCCAACTGCTTTTTATCTCGCACCTCCCATCAGTAGAACTCTCTTTCTATCTCTTGCTTCCATGAAAGCTATAATTTTCAAATATTCAAACGTAATGTTAATCGGAATCTTCTGATACCTTGACCTTGATCAATGTCCTTCTCTTTATCTTTTTTTTCTAAATATCCTTATTTATTCTTACTCTCACTCTCTGTAACCCCTTGCGTGGCACTCCCGCATTGCTTGGGATGATTTGCTTAAAACAATGCCCACTATCTGTTATATAAATTTTCAACTGTGATGGCAGCCTCCTCCCTAACAGTGCAGACTGTCAACTTCTTCATCACGTCATTATTTTCTCTAAGTATTTCATGTGCTATGCAATTTAGTTGTTTATGCTATTGTATGTTCATGAGAGATTGGATTTCTGTTAATGTGTATTTGATGAGTTATGTGTTTATGTATTTCTGTTATAAAGGATGAAAATAATCAAAGATAAGCAATACGTTAATGAATAATTTAATCCAGAATAAATATTGTGAAGTCCGCTGATGACGTCAGTTTGGAAGGAAGAACAAAGAAACAACGAGGGGAGGTGAATGGTTTAGCAACAAAATATAAATAAATAAAAATCATGAATAATCTATGTGATAAATAGAAAGAAAAGAATGAAGGGAAACAAAACGCATGTTACAGTTCGCTACCAATCGTAGCAAGCTCTCTTGAGAGGCAAAACCAATTTGAGTTTAATCTAAACTTCCGACATTGGAATTGGTTCATCTTGATTTTTTTTCAGTTTTACCTTTATACAAAGATTTGTGACACCCCAACACACACACACATATGTATACATACACACACTAACATATATATAAATTATATATATATATATATATATAAGTGTGTGTATATATATATCTATATCTATATATCTCTATATCTATATCTATATCTATATATATCTATCTATATATCTATATATATATATATATATATATATATATATATATATATATATATATATATATATATATGTATAGAAAGAAAGTCTTAGGGAAAATAGTGGGAGAGATGGAGCCAGACAAAGGGACTGTAATAAAATGAAAGTGAAAGAAAAGATTAATGTAAAATAAAATACGTTGATCTTTGAGTCCAGGGTTAGTTGTCTTATTAACTGAACTCCAGATATAACTCGGACATTTCTAATTCTATTGTTTTGAATTCTTGCTTATTTCGAAATTTTGGTTATGGAGAAAAAAAAAAAAACTTTGACTATGAAGTGAATTTTTCTTTTATTTAAGAAGAACCACATTTTCGTCTAACAGATCTTACAACATTTCGGCAATGCATATCTAGCAAAATATTTAGTATACAGTAGAATGCCTGACAACCGGACTAAGAAGACCTCCCGGATAATTGATTACAAATCCGGATGTGAGCGGTTATATTTAGATTAAAATAAAAGAATTGAAATCAGGTTTAACATCTATTTTCAATGTTTTATAGTAAACAAAATAAGCTAATGGTGAGTGAAATATAAAGGAATTGGTTTTAAGGAAAAAGAAATAAATTATGTAATGTTAATGAAAATTCATTAAATTAAGTATGCCATGTATGCAAAACAATTAATGTAATGAGGATTTTTTAATCGCTGTTGCATTGTGATTCTTTCTCTTCTAAAATCATTCTCAACTTTTTCCGTATTTGGTTTTCTTTTCTTCTGGAAATCTGAAGGACAGTTTTTAACTGCGTTTTTACAATCGTCATTTGCTGGCTTTCTTTCCATAAATCTGATAAACTTTTCAATAGCTTTTTTCAGTTTCAGTCCAGGTTTCATCACAATCATGTATCACATCGCTATCTTGTTGCAAATGTGTCTCGTTGTCATCTTAGACTTCTAAGGAGGATTCCTCATTTAACTCACCGTCGATACCTGTATTAAACCGTTCTACCAACTCATCAGAATTAATGTTGCACAACTGATTTTCGATGTTAGTAATTTTTGTAGTTTTCTTCAGAACGTGTTCTTCAGTAATATAAGTCATTAGCGTGGAATAAGCATAAGCAATTATCCCAAGTAAATTTCCTGAAAAACAGAAATTTCAAATCAGTTACATATCATATAAATTGTACAAATATGCACATCAAAATCATGTCTTGAAATGCGGGATTCCGAATATGAGGCACTCCGGATATGAGAGATTTCGGATATGAGGGATTCTACTGTATTTCAAAATGTAATATCTAATTGGCGGTATAATGAAAAGACCATGATGTGGCCTGTGTGCAACAAAGAAATCTTAAAGAAAATATTAACAGAAAAAAAATAATACACTTCTACTCAGAATAAAGGAAAAAAGTAGCTGAAATTCCTTGGACACATACTGAGGTAGGAGGGATTGGAAAACTTAACTCCCATGGATATTAAGAGTGATAGAGATAGGAAGCCAGCCATTTATCTGACGAGCTTGAATCAATGGATGGCGGGATGTTAGAAGCGGATGCCTAAGCACCAAAAGCGAATGGAAGTTGAAAGCATGATCGCTTATGGCCTGAATGGACGCAGCAAATAGACGAAGAAAGGTTTAATAGAACGCAATCAAAAATATTTATAGAAGAAAACATTACTTATTCTATTTACATTATTCGGACTATTGTCCCCATCTTTGTGGCCATATTTATCACAATGTTTCGGCCTTCCTCAGGTGGTTGGAATGTCGAACTGAACCCTCAAGGACAATCTATCCCAGTGAGCGAAATAAAGGGTCAATTCGACATTCTAACTACCTGAAGAAGGCCGGAGCGTACAACAGCCAAAACGTTGTAATAAATATGGCGACAATGATGAAGACAATAGTCAGAATAATGTAAATAATGTACATAATACCTCATCTCAGTAATAAAGAAAAATACTTAATACATTACTGTATATGAAAAGCAAGATAGCAGAACAACTGGACAAAAACAAGGGATGACTATAAAATAAATACCCAACATTATTATTATTAAAATACACCTTTAAGTGCTGAATCTAGATGCGTCGTCAGTGTTGTTGCTCCCATGTCACTAGAAGTTTCGGGTCTAAATAAAAAACAGACTTCTTCGATGGGAGACCCGACCGAATATGATCAGTATTCGGTCCGCACCTAGAACAAAATTTGCCACTAGCTTTAGGACGTGAATTATATAAGTTGCCCCAGTAGACAACAACCCATCAATACTTCGCTTGGGCGATTCGATGTTATAGATTAGGTATGCATAATTGTATAGATCTTCCGACATGCGGCCAAGAATGGGTGTTTTTGGAAGAATAGAAGAAAACAAACCAATAAATATACACATAAATATATATATATATATATATATATATATATATATATATATATGTGTGTGTGTGTGTGTGTGTGTGTATGTATATATATATATATATATATATATATATATACATACACACATATATATATATATATATATATATATATATATATATATATATATATATATATATAAAAAAAAACGAATTATTATATTGGCTCGCCTTGCGACTTGTTCTTTCTCTACCTCCCCTTTTAACTAACTTATTTGTTTGGTCTTTCTTTTCTTTTACTTGATTAGAGTACAAAAATAAAACATCACCGCTACATAGTTACGAATGTTCTTTTTATAATAATAATAATAATAATAATAATAATAATTTAATGCCGAAATGTAAATATAATATACGTAATTTTATTTTATTTCTTGACATAATCGTGGTTTAGTTTTACTAATTAACTTATAGCTCGGAAGAGAAAAGGTGGACTGTTACCTTTTCTCCGGATATTTTCGCGTAAGTGAATATAACGAACCCAACTGGAATTGGAACTCGGCACTCCGATTAGCAATTCCGAACTATTATGCTTTGCAGCCCCCGAAACTCTTAGCTTACAGCACCAGCTATTCCCAAGCGGTCACCCATCTAGGTACCGAGCAGACTCGACGTTGCTCAACTTCGGTGATTGGACGAGAACCAATGTTTCAACGTGATGTTGCTGTAAGTCACAAATGTCAGATCATTCATCACTATTTTTTAAAGCAACAAACTTTGAACTATAGAAACAAATCGCCCACATATTCGTACCTGACAGATAAAAAGGTTACACACGGATTGACATGAGCGTATCAAGTGACGAAAACATATGAGAATGTCTTTTACTTATTTATTTATTTTTTTGTAGTGGGGACTTTAAATAATCTAGGTAGATTTGAAGATGGAAATAACAAAAAAATGTAACACCAGAGTACTGATGTGATTGGAGCATTGGGTCTGATAAAAACGTATCCCAAGAACAAATTAACTAAATCCCTGGTGCACCACTTCCACAGGAAATCATTTTTTTTTCGAAGTTATATCATTTAATTTTTTTAATAACTGTATCTTGTTCAGTTAAATGGAATCAACAAATCACATCTTTCGGTTGTCCTAGGGCATCGATTATGGCCCGGCATGTGACTATAAAAAATGTAGGACAAATAGAACTTTTTTGAAATAATAATAATAATAATAATAATTGTTTGATAGATAATATTATTATAGAGTCTGACTAGTTGGCAGTGATCCTTGGAGGTAAAGTGATAACCTATATTTATGATTTTTGGTGGATATTGCCCCACAAGAGACATCACATTTGCATATAAGATGCGGGGTGATGTATATCATTAACTTTACTAATTTACTTTTTGTATGAAGATTCATTTTAATATAAATTGAACTGCACCACATATTTGATTTAAAAGACGTAGAAATTTTCGGGATAACAGATGAGATATTACTTTATTTATTGAACAATTTAGTTCATGCCACATTGACTGCTAAAAACCTGCAACAAAAAAATTCTCAAATTAATATATTAGTAAAAAAAAAAAAAAATGCACTGTCTTAAATTTAAAAAGAAAATCAACCTTAGCGTTGCGACTGCACGTACCAAAATATTTTTTTATCCGTTAACAATAACACATTTCTAAAAAAGAACATATTTCGATTCTCATTTAATTTTTCGACTCTGATACTCTCTGGATTTACTAAAAGCAAAATAATTTCCATGTCTGAGGATGACTGTATGTACAGTTGAAAGTACTTGCAGATTAAAAAAAGACCTTATACAACTTGTAGTTATTAAAACAAGGATAATGACATTCATCGAGTTGTTCGTAAGTTAATGTAACTTCAAAATTTTGTTTGCGAAGAGATTTCTGCATTTTATGTCATTAACTTTACTAATCTACTTTTTGTGTGAATGATTCATTGTATGTATGTATGTATGTATCTATGTAGATACGAACATATTTACAGTTAAGTGATTTATAGCCGCGTGGCCTAATGGTTAGAACGTCCTTTTTCTGACCCGGGCTCGAAACTCCCCACTGTGGATTTGCCAAGAAGGAGTCTTCTTAATGTTATCGGTTTGGAGAGGGGACGATCCCAGCGTACGGCAACTTCGGAAAGTGCCTGAAAACCATACCACACCTTCCGTCTGAAAATTGGGTAGACGGAACATTTGGGAGCCGTCGAGAGCAGTGCTAGCACGAAGTCACAAGTCATCGTGACCGAGCTTGAGTGTACTGGCGTTGTTCAAATTGTTGATTATACTAGACAACACGCTCTCTACCAGAAACTGTAACTAAGGTCTGCTCGTCATAATCGCAGTATAAACACGTGTGGTCTGTGGGTGTTGAGCTGTGAGCTGCGTCTGAAGTAGGGATTGCCTAGCCTCCCTAGTAGACGGTTATCCTTGAATACAAGTGGCGAACTATTATATATATATATATATATATATATATATATATATATGTGTGTGTGTGTGTGTGTGTGTGTGTGTGTGTGTGTGTGTGTGTGTGTGTGTGTGCAAAATATATAGAAAATAGGAAAGAACTCGTTAGGTAAATAATCCAAAGTTCTTTAGTATTTTTTGTTATTAATTTAAAAAAAAAAAGTGCTCGATACAAAAGTAGAGCATAAATATAATTATTTATTTAAAAATAATATGATTCCAAAACATGAAATATAATTATTTATTTAAAAATAATTATTTATTTAAAAATAATATGATTCCAAAACATGAGAACTCTTATGTAGCGTTGGAATTATAATTTTAAATAAATAATTATATATATATATATATATATATATATATATATATATATATATATATATATATATATATATATATATATATATATATATGTCTGTGTGTATAGAGAGAGACAGATATATAGATATATAGAAAAACCTAGGTCTGAAGATAACTTGAGGTGTGAAAATCATAGTCATATAGTAATTTTATTTCTATAAAACTACTCTCTATATCAATAAACGCTATTTACTCCGATAATGAGTGCAAAGTTCTCCTAAATGTAATCAATTTTAAACAGTATATACCAATGTATGTGGGTCATATTTTGATTTATTCATTAATTTGTTCTCTACAGTTTATCAATCCTTTGTAGGTTATTTAAAGCCAGAAATTTGTTTTTAGATTGAGAGATATCTTCTTTTACATAATATTGGTTGAAGGATCGAATTTTACTAATAAATGCATGGCTGAGGAAGAATAGTTAGTTTCCTACCTTACCCAGGTGTATTTTTGCATAAATAAATACAACCTTCATACAACGATTGGAACTCGACTCTCCGATTAAAAATTTAGTGTCAACAATCCTTATTCCAATCGTGCATCCAAAATTACAGGACCTGGTATTTCTCAGCGGACACCCATCAAGGTACTAAACAGGCACGACATTACTTAACTTCGGTGATCGTTTGGGGAGCGTTGTTTCAAACTGATGTGGTTGTAAGTCTTCTTCAGTTGTGTACTTCTATTTATGCATACATGATGCAGACGAAAGCCTGATTATATTGGTTTTAATAAATAAAATTCCTTCTTCATGACTTGCTGTCACCAATAACAAAAAAAAAAACACTCTGACGTGGTATTATCCTCATATAGATGGAGGTAGATTTATTGATTTTCTTTTTATTTAGAAGGGAATTAGTTATAAATGAACGAAACAGTACCGCCCAGAATTTGAACTCAGCATAATGATACCATTTTTCCACCGATAACCACTACGATACCATTACCATACCAACGTATCTGAGTGGGAGGTATTATTCTAAAGATCTGTTTGTTTATTACTTCTTTAGTACGTCTGTGGCTCTTTGCTATTACCATAGATAAGAAATGGGCAATTCCTCTTTTATTGTGAAATTAGTTGGAAGAGACGAGACATCAAAGACGAGGTTTTGTTTTAGGGAAAAGAATGTAAAACAAAGAAATAGAGAAAGAAAGAATAAGAACACAAAGGGTTGGAATGAAACCACTAATGTGTTTAACTTCATTGAAATAGAAAAGCCTGTTAATTTTATTTTTTTTTTAGTTTCCTCTTATTAAAGAAATAACTGTTTCTGTTCATATTTACGATTGTGTCTTTTATATTTATACTTAAGTATGTGTAGTTGTTCTTTATAGATTATGCCAAGCGTTTGATGAAGTATGTCAAAGAAACTGTTGGAATTGTTTGGTAACCTTGACATATTTGGAAGAATATTAGAATAGCGCAAACCTATAATGGCAGGAAACTGCGTGCATGTAGTTAAAAATAAAAAAGCAGTGTAAGACAAGTATATATACTTCAGATTTTTTCTCCTGTACAGTCAAATGATTCTGATAGAATAAGATGCACAACCTGAATTAATTATTGGTGCTCATAATGTTAACAACATAGATATGCAGATGCTGAAAGGAAACGGCAATAACTTCGACAGAATGTAATGATGGAAAGCGAGAAGAAGCGAGATGAAATTACTTAAAATCAACTGCAAGTAAACAGGTTGCATGTTTGTTAGCAAAAGGGACAACCTGACATGCAAATTATGAACTGGAGATACCAAAATCAAGCAAGTACAAACGGTTAAATATCTGGGAAATGCGACAGTGCGACACTGAAATCCGAAGGTGCGTTGCGATAGCCAAAGATGCATACCAAAAGATAAGCAAAGTATTAAGATACAGAAAAAAATTAGTTAGAAACAAATAAAAGAGTATTGAGCTGTTACGTAATATCAGCCCTCTCGTATGCCAGTGAATGCTTGACAATCTCCTTATAGATGAAGAGAATACTTGAGGCAGCAGAAATGGGGATCGACTGGAGAATGCTGAGTATACGTGAAAAGCGTCGATGTTTTAGAGAAAATGGAAACAAAAAGGAAACATATTAACATCAAGAAGAGATATTTGAAATTTCTGAGATACATAATGAGGAAAGAAGGTTTGGAAAATCTGATACCCATAGGACAGACTGAAGACTAGTGAGACAGAGGAAAGCAACATATAGCCTGCCCAGTTAATATGTCCAAATAAATGGCAGAATAAAGTTTAGGAGAAATAATAATAATAATAATAATAATAATAATAATAATAATAAATATTATTAAGAGCTACAAAGGACAGAAAATTATGAAGAGCCATGATTGTTTAGCCCTGACATGTCACGGCACATAGAGGAGAAGGTTATATATTTTTAAAAGTATTATGGAACTTACTATGGGTATTATATAACCTTGTAACTTACAAGGAGTTTACGTAATCATTAAATTAAGTATTAAAATCCGTTAGAAATTTCCAGAACGGTAACGTTGAAATTGTCACCGGTATTTCAAGTCATTATTATTAATATTTGATTTGATTTGATTTCTGGTGTATATTTATTTCATTTCGGGCCCCAATCGGAGACCTAAGGCGAAAAATAGCATCATGGCATTTTCACTGAATATTTTTGGGAAAAAAATAATAAGATCAACACATTTTACATATTCTTCTTCTTCTTCTTCTTCTTCTTCTTCTTCTTCTTCTTCTTCTTCTTCTTCTTCTTCTTCTTATTATTATTATTATTATTTGTGTATGTTATTTTTCCTGTTTTGTATCCTGTAGAACCAGCTCCAAACTATAGTTCTTATGTCCTATAGGAGAATTTTCATTTAACTGATAGCATATTTCTTAGTATATGGGATGTTCCTACTAGGGCGATTTTCTGGACTACTTTATGTTGATGTTACCCGGGACACTGTTAGTAAAACTGTCCATTCCTTTTCTCACGATGCCCAGTGTTCCAATTACTATGGGTACAGTCTCAGTCTTCATTCTCCACATCCTGTTAATCCCGATTTCCAGCTTCTTGTATTTGGACAATTTCTCGACAGTTTTCATGCAAATGTTTTTCTCAGATTGTACTGTTATATCAATAAGCATACACTTCCTGAATTACTTGTCTTTTATGAAAATATCAGGTCTGTTGGCTTTTATTTCCCTGTCAGTTTGAATTATCATGACCCAGAGGATAGTTACATCGTTATTTTGGGTAACTATGTCTGGTTGGTGCTCATACCATCTCTCAGTGGTTTCGATTTTGTGCTTCTTGCATATCTTCCAGTGCACATATGTCGCTACCTTGTTATGTCTGTGGGTATATTCATTTTTTGCTAGTTTCGGACATCCTGAGGTAATATGGTCGACAGTTTCGTCATATTTTCCGCAGATACTGCATTTAGCTTTCCAACCTGGATTATGTGTCTGTATGTATGTATACCGAACCACAGAGCCCACCTGTGGTTTATAATGCAACCATGCAGAGCAGACCTTAGTTACAGTTTCTGGGAAAGAGCGTGTTATCTAGCGTGATCAACAATTTGACCAAGGCCATCACACTAAAGCCCTCGGCCCCAATGAGTTGTGACTTCGTGCTAGCACAGCTATCGACGGCCCCAAGGGTTCCGTCTACCCAAATTCACTCACGAGGCTTGGGTCAAACCGTAGTATGTTTTTCCGGCACTTTCCAAAGGTGCCGCACGCTTGAGTCAACCTCCCCAGTCCGATAACATCAAGAAGTCTCCTTCCTGACAAATCGACCATGGTGTGATTCGAACCCGGGACTTATTGTTAGAAACTTTCGCACTACAAGGATTTGAAAAGGCATGATTGATTCATCCGTTCTTTTTACGAATTTTATGGTTCATCCCATCTATAATCATATAAACACATATATAGATATATATATATATATATATATATATATATATATATATATATATATATATATATATATATATATATATAAATTCCCAGATCAATTCTGTGGACAAGACAGATTGGTATAAAGCGACTATTGGAAAAAAAATCTTAGATTTTGCCGAGCCGTTTCGTCTTCCAGCTTTTTCAAGGCAAAAATGAAATCGAAATGTTTTTGTTGTTATAGTTACATTAAAAAATCCAAATTTAAATGGCTTGTCACTTCGTGCTAGCACAGCTATCGACGGCCTCCAAAGATTCTATCTACCCAATTTCACTCACAAGGCTTGGGTCGACTCGTTGTATGGTCTTCAGGCAATTTCCAAAGTTGCCACATGCTGGGACCGACCCCTCCAGAATGATAGCATCAAAAATTTACCATCCTGACAAATCGACCATTTGGCAGTGATTATTATTATTATTATTATTATTATTATTATTATTATTATTATTTTTTTTTCTTGGATTTCTTTTCTGTACACATTTCTTTCCGGGTCCAGCCCAGAGACATAAGGTTAGAAAGGCATCATGACATTTTTCATTGAACAATTAAAAAAAAAGAAAAAAAAATTATATAGATTATAATTCGTAACTTGTGGCCTGTACTCGTGAGAATAATTTTTTGGATTTCTTTAAGGCATGGACTTCCAGGAATCCATTGAATTAGTCGACTGGAATCTTTTCCAACCAATCCGAGGGCAACAACAACAGGGATTGCTGATGTCCATTGTGCCACATTTTTGAGATTTCTATTATTATTGTTATTATTATTATTATTATTACATCACAGAAAGCTAGACATATACAAGGAAAGAAAAAGAATCAGAAATCGAATGCCACTTACGAATTAGAATAACGAAAATAGAGAAAGAGGGGATTTAAAAATAAATAACTCTCATTTGACGCAGACGCACCTTTCTAGTAAGAGTTAAAATTCTCCATGTTCCCGCGCACTGCGATAAAAATTGACGCATGTAGGATTTTCTCCTTTTAGACCAGGCGTCAACTGCAGACTAACCTACACGTCATGAAAGCTTATGAATGAGCGCCATTTTTCGCGTTTGGTGTTAAGATATTTTTATTTATGTCATCGGTGAAAATGGCGTCAAATTCCTTCGACGGGTTGAAGTGAAAGTTTGTATTATTCGTTATTTGTATCGGGGATATATGTCCATGAAAAAAAGTTTTAATGAAATGCGCATCAATAAGTCATGTTTCATCATCATTATCATCAACAGCATGATCATCCCCATCACTGAGATGTGGTCGTATTGTCACTGATCCGTTCCCTGCACATATCTGAACGCCGATGAAGTATTTTTCTATGGATTAAGCGACAGCACAGGTCCAATAACTTGAAAGAAACGTGATCCTTGAGAGAGAGAGAGAGAGAGAGAGAGAGAGAGAGAGAGAGAGAGAGAGAGAGAAAGAAGGGTGTGAGAGAGCAGAGAGAACAAAGATTTAATTGAGAGATATTTGTTGGATTAATATCAAAATACTTTACATATAGTTATCTATTCCCTCGAAGGCACCAACAGAGCATAACATATCACAAACGCGTGCACACACACAGAGAGAGAGAGAGAGATAGGGAGAGAGAGAGGGGGAGAGAGAGAGAGGGAGAGAGAGAGAGAGAGGGAGAGAGAGAGATAAACAGAGAGAAAGATAGGGAGAGATAGAGAGAGACTGATGATGTCTTGCGGCACGAAACTATTAATTAACATGTAGTACTGATTTCTACCTTCAATCTGTTCATATCTATCTATCTATCTATCTATTTATCTACCTATCTATTTATCTAGTTTACCAATTAAATATAATATTTATAGTAATTAGACATAATGTCGGATAAAAAATATAAATTCAAATCTCTCGACATATATTTACAAACAATCGGGCGGACCTTGCTTGAGTATGGGCTTGTCGGAGAGAATTGTTGCACAGTTTAACTTTGCAATGACTCTAAGCATTATTGTACAAGTATGTAACCCAATGGTATTAGGAATTCATTGAAGACAAATAAATGTTCTAAATTAAAAATTAATATATAAAATAAATTATGCTTATGTTTGATGATCTTGTTCTCTCAATACAATCTTATGAATGACGCAAGTTATAGGATAACTAATTGAAATTTTTGTAAGGTCATAAAGAAAAGAAGTGTGGGCATATTATGAAGATATGGAGGATAGATAAGGCATGACCCTCGAATTGAATAGGCTAAAATTACAGTCGTCATAAAAGCATCATCTTAGGTGTCTTTTCCAGCAAAGAAGCTATCCGAGTTAAACAATTTCCTCATAAAAAAGAGATTATGTAAGGAACACAAAAGAAGAGGAAGGAAGATGGTATGTGCGTGAGCGAGGACCCAAAATAAGTTGAATTGAACTAAGGCCTCGTTGATATATCGAAGACATTTTTCCTTAATGTATAATGACTATAGATGAAACTTGGTCTTTCATTTATTTTTTTTATTTTTTTTTTTTTTGTAAGCATATCACCCCAAGCAAGACGAGATGCCAATATCACGCAAGGAGTTAAAGAGAGTGGGAGGGTGAGTAAAGAGGCGTGATAGAGGAAAGGATAAAGAGATGGACAAGGAATAGATCAACGCATCTGGAGATGTCGATTGACATTGCATTTGAACAGTTGGAGATTATAGGGAAACAAATAAAAGGAACGGATTTCCACAGACGGGAGGTGAGAGACATGAAGCTATCGTAGAAAAGACGGCTACATTTAACAGTTTCGACAGTGAAATGGTGGGACTGAGATGCCAGCCTGGTTGCAGGTTTAAATTCATGCAATCTGCGAACGATCGAAAGTATCTCATCAGAGCAGTTACCGTGAAAGTATTTGTAGAAAAACAAAGGCAGGCGACGGCACGTCTGTGAGAGAACGACTTTAACGAGATGACAGATCACGGCCAATCTCATTGTATATCTGTCTCTGGATTTTGTCGAGGACCTTAAAATGAACAGCGGGGGCACCAGACCATACATGGCAGCAGTATTCCATGCAACTTGTAGTAACTTTTGACATTTACCATACGACTATTTTGTATTACTCTCCATCGTTTAATTTATTAAGAATTCGATAATGAGATGTTGCTTGCAAGGAACCCGTAAAGTGTCACAATTGTTAAGTTCTTGTGAATAAAATGGTCATATTTTATACGGGCTTGTACATACTGAATGGTGTCTCATTACACAGTAATTAAACCCTTGGGAATATATCAAGCAGAGTGTATGATTATGAAAGAATTTTCTCCATACGCATTATGATCTCACTGAATTAAACCCAATGTAAATCAAAGTGATGTAAATGATTCATGAGATATGAAACATATAGAAAGACTGCTTCTCGTACGATTATTAGGCAATCAGTACATAAATAGATCACTTTTTCGGAATAAATATCAGTTGCAGTAAGGTTAGACGTGAGTGTGGTGTAATAGATAACTGCTCGGAATACGAAATCGGAGAGCAGGTTTCAAATTCCAGTGGGTTCGCTATATTCTCTTACGTACAAATGGAGAAGCTATGAATCCATCTTTTCAACCGTCTGCTATTGGTTAATTAGTAGGGATTTCATCAGTAAATCTTTATTATCTCCAATAATTCTTGCAATCTAAAAAAAAATGAAATTAAATAACCATATTGTGAAATAATAGGGATTACGGTTCCACAAATTCACAGAGTTTGTAGAATGAACCATCTGCAAATGTTCGATGAATCGGCTGCCTACGGTATGGAAACGCAGTATGATACAGCCGTGTATCCGCGCGTCTATATACTATTTACATTATTTTTCTCATCCTTGTTGCCATGTTTATCACAAGGTTTCGGCCGTTGTATGCTCCGGCCTTCTTCAGGTGTTTGGAATGTCGAACTGAACCCTTTATTTCGCTCACTTTGGCAACAAAGATGAGGAAAATAGTCTGGATAATTTAAATAATATAATACCTCATTTCATAAAGATAGACATATATATATATATATATATATATATATATATATATATATATATATAGAGAGAGAGAGAGAGAGAGAGAGGGAGAGATTTTGTCTGACGATCGCTAAAAGCGTGAAACCCAGGGTCACAAACTCACATCTATCCAACCAAATATGTTAGCTCTATCTCTGATATTGAGCGCTTTCTAATAAGTACCATATATATAATATATAAATAATTATACATACTTATATTTATTCATATTTATATACACTTTTCACATATATATATATATATATATATATATATATATACTCACACAAACACACACACACACACACACATATATATATATATATATATATATATATATATATCATTGTCAGTATGTTTAAAGCCGTTCTTGCTACAAAAACTCGAGCAATTAGGCACGCAATTTAGCACGCAAAATCACTCACAAAACACACAAATACACAGATTTACAGTTGTGGAGAGAATTATTCACCCGCGGTTCCATGATTACAAATAAATCTGAAATAATTCAAATTTTCATGGAAACTTCATGTGCATTTATAATAAATTACGAAAGAATTGATTTGAATGAATGTGCAGTGATGTCCGTAACAAAATTTTGATTTCATGTCAAACAATAACACAAAAATACCCCAAAACCTTTAACTTAGGACAAAATTATTGGTTCTCTGGCTTCAATAATCCATTGTGTAACCTTTATTAATTGATCATTACCTTTAAGCATTTTTGATAGTGCCTTACAAGATCACTATATAAATTGGTAGATATTGAACTCCATTCTTCCTCGGCATCAGATTCAAGTTCCTGCGAATTCGAAATACTTTTTTCTCTTAATATTTTCTTCAGATTAGCCCATAAATCATCATTGTGGTTTAGGTCAAGACTTTGTGTAAGATATGCCAATACCTTAATTTTTCTGACATCTAAGAATTTTGTAACAATTTGTGCCATGTGTTTCGGGTGATTGTCATGTTGGAACGTCCAGTGGTGCCCCAAAGACAGCTTTTTTGATGTTTTATATTATTTTGAGGAATAGCAAAATACTGATCTTTATTCATGATACTCTGCGCTCTCACTAGTTCTCCTGGTCCAGAAGCAGTAAAACATCCCCAGAGCAGAATACTCCTGCCACCGTGCTGAATTGTAATGTAGGTATTTTTTTGTTTTGTGAGCCCTCATTAATTTTCCTCCATACACAACCGGAGTTCATGTGACCAGATAGATCCAATTTAGTTTCATCAGATCATGAAACGGAGTTCCTCTATTTACTTCCAAGATCTAATCTGTAATTTATATGTTTAGCCTTGGGTTTGATTTGGGCGACCTACTCGAAGTCCTGTTCGATTAAAGCTTCAAATAACTGTCTTTAGCGATACATTCAATCCTGATATTTTTACATCATTGGCAATGTACATTGTCGTTAAGCGAGGATTCTTCAAAGCATTTCTCATTTTCTGCTAGTCCTTAATTGATAATGCTACGAAGTGTTTTACAACACAAACACATGGAAATTGTTGTATTTTTATCACCATATTTAGTACACATCAATTATCTTCATTCGCAGCTTCAAGTTCAACGCTTTTTGCCATGGTTGCAGAACGAATTAGTTATCGTGATATGTGGCGCTCATATATGGTCTTTTGCATTAACTTGTAGAAAATAATTCATATTATTCTATAATTTCCATAAGATGGGGGAATAAAATTGGACTGTACCAATTTTTAGAAACATGCATAACTATGAAAATAATAGATCGAAAATTCTAAAATTTAACGAATTATTAAAAACTAAATACGAAATCAACTATGTAAGTTAAATTCAGTGAGAACTTCCAAATATTTACATTTCCTTAGAAAATATACTCATATATATTCAGTCAGGGCGAATAATTCTGTCCATATATATATATATATATATATATATATATATATATATATATATATATATATATATATATATATATATATATTTTCATATCTATTTTGTCACTCTCAATGATTTATACGCTTTCTCGTTATAGTTTCACAGACAAACGCGCACTCACTCAATCACACACGCACACACATATATATATGCGCACGCACACACACGCACACACATATATATATGCGCACGCACACACACACACACATATATATATATATATACACATATACACATATATGTAAACACACTCACAGATATATTCACACACAAATATATATATACATATATATATATATATTCATACACACATATGTATATATACACTCACACATATATACATAAACAAGCACACATACATATACACACGTATATATATTTAAAGGCACACATATTCATACGCACACATACGCACACACGCACACACACACACACACACACATATATATATATATATATACACACGCACAAGCATATATATATATATATATATATATATATATATATATATGAAAAATTTCACATCGTTGTTGCGTGCACATTCCTTTGCTCGAGTGAATTCTTTTACCAGCCGATCATCTCAAATATAAGAAGTGATAGACCGGTTCCATTTTAGATTTGATAATGTCACTGAACATCAGGATGCCTTCCATAGTCTATTATTGTAATCTTCTTCTTAATCTATACTGACATGAAGTGTATTTGGTGTTTCAGTGACCCAAATGCATATCTCTCTTTCGACATCTCGTCTCACGTTGCACGAATCGTCTTTGACCGCCTTCCACTAACGGCTTCCACTTTCAATCGCGTCCTG